CCCTTATTATGGTGACCATACCACTATCTTAAAGGGTATTTTCCCCCTTTATTTAGTTAGTTATTTACGTTTAAGTCAGTTTTGGAGCTATGTCCTATTATTTTTAAATATCATATCCACTACCCTTTCTTCCCTAAATTTAATGGCTTCTAATATAATGTTTCACTTCCTTTACTTGCTGTCATTTTGTAGCAGTGCTTCTTATTATTTATCTTGACACGTTATTTTTCCTATTTATTACTCGAAGGCTCCCAAATGGCTCAGTCACGGTACTTGTTTGCGATATCATGCTTTCATATGGATCTTCTTACTGAAGCTGAAGCAGCATTATGTCCTATCAACGACCCTAGTGCAGAGGTATAAAACACAGTTTAGAATGTATTTTAGATTAATGGTTATCTCCTAATTATTAAATTATAAAAATATATAGGTGGCCATATTGTATTCGCCCAAGAATTTTAAATTTATTATCTTTCATATTCTGGCATATAATGATCTTCTCTCATACCTTCTCATAGCAAGAAGCCTTCTGGTATTGGGGTCCATTAGATTTTTTATCGTTGTTATTCAACTGTGTACTATAAGTCTAGTTTGCTACTATTGATTCATTTTTCACATAAGTTGACATATCCCTTCTGTTTCAAGTTGCTTTTCACTATAGTTTGTTGGTGCATTTTCTGGGAGAAGGTTAATGATTTTGTTAATTACGTTTTTCTTACTATGTAGGTTCCAAATGGTGCAGCTGGTCATTATCTATTAGGGCTCATTTACAGGTTGCTGAACTGTCTTCATATCAATGTTGACTGCCCCTCCGCCCCAATATATGTTTTTATATTATATTCTTGATAATTAAAATTTAAATTAGATCTAACTAATTTGCAAAATCACATAACATATACTCACACAATGACACCAAATTAGTGTTGTTGTTCTTAACAATTTGAACTTTTCGTTTGGTATGTACAAGAAGCTAAGAAGAGTTCCGATACAAAAATTCAAATATGAAATCATTCCCTTGAACATAGTGATGAATAGCGGGGTCTTAGTGGTCTACAGTGCAGAGCAACCAGTTGTGACCAAACAATGGCCCGCATTCTAGCTACACTTAATAAATTTCACATGGATTCTTTTTTATGAATATTTTAGGATAATCTCGCATTTGCCCTATGGCGCTCCCATTTGTCAAATTGGTGAGATTTGTTTCATCAGCGTTGGTTTCCATTTGGTGGTTGACTTCCCATCAAGTATTTGGTATGTTCAGTGAATATTTGGTCCTCTGTGAATGGTTTCCATGCGAATTGTCTTTCAATGCCGTCTTGGCTTAGTTCATACTATTTTCATATCTATATTCCCTTTAATAATTAGTCTACCTTTTCAGATGCCTGACAGAAGGAAAAGTGCCATACAACATTTCAAGCAGGCACTGTCAATGGATCCTCTAATGTGGGTTGCATATGAGGAGTTGTGTATATTAGGTAATGTGAGATGATAGCACTTGAATCCCAATGATAGAGCATTACTTGATGAAGGGCAATTTGGGCACAACCAACTACGTTTAAATGCTGCTTGCTTAATTTTAAATGCATTTCTCCTTTCCAAGAAATTAATTTTAACTTTAAAAAAATAAGAAAGCTAAGGCAATCTTTATTTAAGCGTATGGTATGGTCAATGAGGGGTACTTATTGTTTATAATTTTGTTTGGTAATGGAGCGCCGAGACACACTTTTATTGTCATGGTTTTCATGTGCTAGTGAAAAAAACTCAACAGTAATGGGCCTAACAAAAAATTCTTCCTTTACTATACTGCCTTATGACATAACAAATGCTGAATCTGTCAAGTGACTTAATGGAAAGATGACATGGCCAGAAACCAGTGCAAATTGATTACTAAATGACTGTTTTCTAGTGTAAATCTTATAAATGTTCTTTTCTTATTCTCTCATTCGTCATTATTATCATTACACTATTTTCTAGGTGCTGCTGAAGAAGCAAGTATAGTTTTTGGTGAAGCAGCTGCTTTTTGCATACAAAAGGAATACCCGGATTGTTCAACCTCTCCAAACTCTTATATGTCACCTGAAGATAGCAATGAAGTTGCTCCCAGATCTTGTATTCCGGAAGAAGGGAATCCAAGGCAACTCAAACAAATGCAAGGTCTCAAGGATATTGCTGCATATCATCATGGAGCATCTATATTAGGAGGAGCTACTTGTCAATCTATTAATAGTGGTTCATCTAACATGTCATTTTATAGCACCCCATCTCCAATGGTTGCACAGGTGACTCTATTTTTATATTATGTATGCCTATTAATGTGTTTTAAAAATTGTGAAAAGCTATATATCCAGACATGGATAAAGCCATCTCTTTTTTCTTTAGTTTATAAATTGATAATGCAGGTTCATTGGTCAATTACATGTTATGTTATCGTTTTTTGCAGTTGTCAGGGGTTGCTCCACCCCCATTGTGTAGGAATGTCATGCCAAATTGTCAAAATCTTACTACACTTAGTGTTGACAGTTCTCCTAAGTCAATAGTCAATTCTCCTATTCAAGCCCCTCGAAGAAAGTTTGTGGGTGAAGGAAAGTTACGAAAGGTTGGTTCTATACTTCAACCTATAGTTGCATCATTGGTAGGTAAACATGCCAGCAGTCTCGGATTTTCTCTTTAATCTAGAGTAAACCATGGCAGTATTGGGTAGATTATTTTTTCTTGTTTTGGCATTTGTTAGTGATCTAGATTTATTCAGATTGTTGACATCATAATTCAAGTTAGCATTTTTTTTTTATATCAGGAATGGCATTTTTTCTATTAGCATTGTTTGACATCAATTTTGTTTCTATCTGATAATGATGTTATGGGTATCTGAGTTTACCTTTTTAATTCAGGTTACCAATTACCATTGATTCTCATTTATATGGTTGCAACATTGCTACTCAATTTTCTGCATTGACTCAACTATAGTTATTTTGCATTATGTTCTTTGTGGATTTTTATTTGGTGCTATACATTTTAGATGAATAGTTGAATATATTTTCCATACTATTTTGTGTGAGTTCGATGACATTTATTTTGTTGAGTAACTTATTTTGCATGATTGTAATATTATGCACACTCAGTTGACTTGACTTTTCAAAACTGTGTTAGAAGTCCCACATCGACTAGTGATAAAGCTAGTTTAGAGTATATAAGTGAGTGCAAACCTTATTTTACAAGCCGGTATTATAGGATTGAGTTAGGTTTAAAGTGTATTTAATCTAGTATGAAAGTCATTGTTAGAGTCTATGCTAGCGAAATTTGTTTATTTGGCATATTGTTCAACCCTCTATCTATTAGGCCACTATTGGACCACTCTTTAATGTTTAGTTCCACTCACAAGATGATATATCTCAATGTGAGGGGGTGTTGGAAGTCTCACATGGATTAGTGATAAGGCTAGTTTAGAGTATATAAGTGAGTGAACCTCACCTTACAAGTCAGTTTTGTGGGATTGAGTTAGGCTTAAAGTCTACCTCTTAACACAGACGATATGATAAATCTCTCATTTTTCATTACTCCTTTTTTTCCTAAACTAAATATATATTGTTACAGATTTCAGGTAGATTATTTTCTGATTCTGGTCCTCGACGTAGTTCAAGGCTCTCTAGTAGTGAAAGTGTAAACGCAAATGCTAATTCAGCTGTTGTATCTGGAAATGGAAATAATAATTCTTATAAGGGAGGTTCAAAGCTAAACCATGTGGCATTTCGTGCCATGGCAATTCGTAAAGGGCAGTCATGGGCCAACGAAAACATTGATGAAGGTGATGAATGTTTATATATCCCACTACTCTAGTCTATAAGCTTATTCTTTTATCTGGAAATGTTTCCATTAACAAATAGTTGAGTTGCAATCTTAGGGAAATCATTCCCTTGTACAAGTTGCATCTCAGCTGACAATGTTAGATTTCTTGTCGGTTTCTTCTGTGCCATAGACTTTCGAAGGACTTCAGAAGGAAAGTTCATATAATTTGATTTTCTTGCCATCTCCTTTATCTAAAGTGCTGAGTCAGATAGAAATACTAATCCATTGCTAGGTATCAGCATAATATGTTGAACTACTATATTAACTTGAAGATTTGCATATCCATTTATGATTATGATTAATTCATTTATTTTCTTATGGTGCTTACTGCCTAAAAGTTTCCTTGTTTCAAATTCTAAATGATTTCCATTTTCTAATTTTAGGGATTCGTAGTGATGTTCCAGATTATTCCTTAAATAATACATCTACAAATTCTTGTTCATCTCCTGATGTTGAAGCCAAAACATATGAGCAAGAAGCAGCAACTTTTCATATTGGCAGGCAAGTAACAAGTGATTCTAAGATCATCACTGGCGCTTCAGAAATATTAACCCTTCTAAGAGTTCTTGGTGAAGGCTATAGACTTTCCTGTTTATATAGGAGCCAGGTAATTAATTAATTTTTTCTCGGGAAAATCCAGATATTTAGGTTATTGCAATTAGGGATTTAAAATTGGAAATAAAATGGGGAAAATACCTTGTCCCAAGTTACATTTGTTTCCTAAATATCTTTTTGTGGAAGAGCAGGATGCGCTGGATACCTATCTGAAACTTCCACAGAAGCATTACAACACTGGTTGGGTTCTTTCTCAGGTAATTTTGGTAGCCCGATGCATTTTGGTATTTATTTGGATTTGTCATGCTTATTTTGTTTTATTCCAATTTTTGTTCAGTGAACGTACAAATTTTGTTCTATATAGTACTTGATTATTTTGCACTTCATTGAAAGAATATCTTATCTGCCCTTAGTTACATTTCTCCACTTTCCTCGCTAATAAAAAGATTGTATTTTCTGTATATGAAGCCTTGTCTGAGGTCTTAGCCTCAAATCGAAATTAATCTCACTATCCACTTGTTAACTAATCTTTTACTACTTTGCGCCCTAATTCAATGAATATAAGATGTGAAGAAAATAAAATCTTTGTCAACTTTGGATGAGACTATAAATATAGAAATAAAAACAAAGAACTAGAAAAAAAGCCCAATCAAATTAAATTTCAGATCCTAAATTAAATCTCAGCACAAAAGTTTTGTTTGCTTGTGAGTTGTTCAGGCTTCAAGCCTGGAAGACCCTTGAGTCAGGGTTACTTTAAATGTAAAAGTTGTTACTAGGCTTCCTCCTGAAAGACGACAATAGATTAATCTTTTTGGATAGACNCTGGCGCTTCAGAAATATTAACCCTTCTAAGAGTTCTTGGTGAAGGCTATAGACTTTCCTGTTTATATAGGAGCCAGGTAATTAATTAATTTTTTCTCGGGAAAATCCAGATATTTAGGTTATTGCAATTAGGGATTTAAAATTGGAAATAAAATGGGGAAAATACCTTGTCCCAAGTTACATTTGTTTCCTAAATATCTTTTTGTGGAAGAGCAGGATGCGCTGGATACCTATCTGAAACTTCCACAGAAGCATTACAACACTGGTTGGGTTCTTTCTCAGGTAATTTTGGTAGCCCGATGCATTTTGGTATTTATTTGTGATTCGTCATGCTTATTTTGTTTTATTCCAATTTTTGTTCAGTGAACGTACAAATTTTGTTCTATATAGTACTTGATTATTTTGCACTTCATTGAAAGAATATCTTATCTGCCCTTAGTTACATTTCTCCACTTTCCTCGCTAATAAAAAGATTGTATTTTCTGTATATGAAGCCTTGTCTGAGGTCTTAGCCTCAAATCGAAATTAATCTCACTATCCACTTGTTAACTAATCTTTTACTACTTTGCGCCCTAATTCAATGAATATAAGATGTGAAGAAAATAAAATCTTTGTCAACTTTGGATGAGACTATAAATATAGAAATAAAAACAAAGAACTAGAAAAAAAGCCCAATCAAATTAAATTTCAGATCCTAAATTAAATCTCAGCACAAAAGTTTTGTTTGCTTGTGAGTTGTTCAGGCTTCAAGCCTGGAAGACCCTTGAGTCAGGGTTACTTTAAATGTAAAAGTTGTTACTAGGCTTCCTCCTGAAAGACGACAATAGATTAATCTTTTTGGATAGACAATAAGATAGTGGGTGGGAGAGACCAAGGGAAGTCAAGACTACGAACTAAAAAGCAAACAACAATTTGGTGTTGTTCATATATTTCAGAAACATGTCTGACATGGCACTTATTTGACACAGTTAGATGTCCACTATTTGTTTTGGAAGTGGCTTACTAAATGGAAAGTGTTGGGATGTTGATAAGTATCAGGATGCTGTAAACTTTGGACCGTAATATATGTAATGAAGTAAAAGTTACTTTCCTTGAATTTTCAATTTTATGTTAAGCACCGACAAAGTAATATTTTAACGGCCTCCTACTGGTCTGTCACCACATATATAACACTTACACCATGAAACAAAACTGCCTCGTAGAATTTGGCTTATCAGTGCTTCTTTGTACGGAAACAATCTTGTCTTCAAGGCTAAAATGAGAAAAACTATCCTTTCCAGCATAGTGGTTGAATTTGGTTTTATTAATTCAACTCGTTTGAAATCTCCTCCTTACGTGAGCATGTTTTAATGCAGGTTGGAAAAGCATACTTTGAGCTAGTTGATTACTTAGAAGCTGATTGTGCCTTTAGTCTTGCTCGTCAGATTACACCCTATAGTTTGGAAGGAATGGATATACACTCAACAGTCCTTTATGTGAGTTAAAATATATTTTCTTTGTTAAAAGCAAATCATTTTTCCATTTGCATTTTGATTTGTTCGTTTGGTCCTTTCAACCAATAAAGTCTCTTGACAGGAAGAGATACTTAATCAATAATCTTTTGCTGCCCTTGCTCTGTGCTCCTATTCTAATGTTATACCTAGAATGTGTTTGAAGCTATGATTTCTCTGATGTTACATAGATAGTAAAACGATTCCTTTTTTAACGGTTGTCTTCTACAAAATTACAAAAGGAAACTTGGATGTGGGGCACCTGGAATATCCTTGTATTTCTTTAGCTTCTTCCTTCCGCATAAAGTTTAAATTTTTAAATGATTACTGGATGTTTGCCTGACAACATGACTTATATCTGCTGCAGCACTTTACAAGGAGATATGAAGCTACGGTTACCTGGCTAGGCAATGATTTCAACTGCTCGCTTAGCTCCTCAATCTTGGTAGTGTTACATTGACTTTATTTTAATTGTTAACAATTCAGTTTTTCTACTTCAATGATTCTTATGCCATTTTTATGCACGACTCTCTTCTCCAGATTGCTTAACATTATATTTCCCGTGTGCTCGTGTGCAGTGAGTGCGCATATGTGCACGATTGCGGTGAGCCAAACACTCGGACATTTTTTGTGTTATTTTGGTTTTCTCAGAGCTATTTGATTGGAAGCTGCTAGGTACCCAGAATTATGAGATTCCAAGGATAGGTTCTTGGATGTTTTATTAGAAAGAATTCCCAATGTGACAGAAACCAAGTACAACACTCAAGGTCTTCTGAGAGGGCCTGTCTCTCCTAACTTCCTTTTTCAAACAACTAAAAAAACTCCCTACAAAAACCTAACATAGACTATTTATAATAGTATGTTATACAATACAACTGCAGGAGGTTATAACTACCTACTTCCTTTATTTCTTCTAGCAGCGAAAATGGTTTGTAGGCATTATTGTTGCGCTGAACAGTGGGAGGTCCTCCTTTTTTATGTTACTCTAACCTTTTCTTCCACCATTTGACTCATCATCATTAACTCAGCAAGATTTCTGGCTTTATGCGAACTTACCTCAGCCTGATTTCCTCCTTCAACCCATTCAAGAAGATGCTACCAAATAATCCTGCTGAATCCCCTTCAGAACCCAGCATTATTATTCAAATTGATCAATATAATCTTCCACTAAACCTGTTTGTTTCTAGCCAATCAGAATTTCAAAGGGGATTTGAAGCATTGTTGGTTGAAACCTGCGTACAACAACCACCTTGAAGAATGCTTCCCACGTAGGGATTTGGATTGCAGGTTTCCCACCACTGAAACCAAAATCCATTTAAGGGCTTTCCCTTCTAAGCCAACTATGGCTGGCCTACATTCTTGCCTCCTCATCACTTCTAAGTGGAAATATCTTTCCAGTCTATTAGTCCAACCATATGTCTTCTCTCCTACAAAACAGGATGTCCAGAGGTTTCTCCATTTTAGGAAGACAATGTTGGACTTCTGTTAGGGTATGGGTGGTAAGGGTATAATGGGTAATGGGTTGTAGGCATAGGAAGGAGGAGGGAATGTATCAATAGTTACTCTTATTTTATGTTGTCAGAGGGGATGTATTGAGATTAATTTTGTAAATCTGGACATTGGCAAAGAGGGGTGATTAGGCCTCCTAGTGAGATAGGTAAGGATTGTCCTCATCACTATCAGTGTACTTTGTTCTCAATACAATACAGAATCCATTCTTTCTTTGGTTATTTTGATTACTGGAGCGTTGGATAGTAGGGGTTCCCAACCAGGAACCTAACAAATTGGTCTGACCTGCCGGATTGAGAAGCAGAGCGCTGCCGTATCAACATGAGAATTGCCAGATCGAGAAGCTGCCAGATCGAGAAGCTGCCAGATACTTTTGAGAAAGAACGGTGAGATGGAGGGGAGAAATGAGGGATGCTTGAACGTGGTGGAGAGCCGGCTAGACGCGGTGGAGATTGCAATAGACGGATTAAAGGTCGAAACCGCGACATTGAAACAAGATTTGGCGACCATCTGCCAAGATCTTCAAGAAGTGATGTGATTATATGGGGGACGACACCGCACTCAAGGGGAACAGTTTGGCGGCAGTCAGGCGCCTGTGACCGCCAATAAGAGTATGAGACGCGAGGACGAAATTGGGGGCGGAGAAGGTGAGCGGTTCAATGGGAGGAAGAGGGTGGAGTTGCCTGTGTTTGAAGGATTAGATCCATTGAACTGGATCAATTGGGCGGAGCGATTCTTCGAATTATATGGAGTAGCGGAAGAGGTGAAGGTATGATTGGCGTATGTGACATGAAGAATGAGAAGGGGCGTACGTGAAAATGGGTCCAGCCGGCCACCACCCACACTCATACGGGAATCGGTGGTTGACCGAGAGAAGAGGTGAGCCACCATTGGCACGGTTCATTGCTGCCACTCCGGGAAAAGTGAGCTGGAAGCATGACAGGAAGAGAGGACTGCCGGAGTTTGAGATGGAGTTTACGACGCTGAAGAGAAAGAGCAACACGTTGATGTTGTGAACGTGTGTGGGAGCCGCCACGGAGCAGAGATGGAGGGCTTTTATTTTTAGGCAAGAAGAAGTAAGAAGATGAAGCGTGATGCTAGTGTTGAGTTTTTAGGCTATTCATTAGGCAAGAGAAAAAGAAAGAGCACACAACTGCACGTTTAAGTTGGAAGCACTTCCAATCTCCTTTAAAAGAAAGGAGGTTGTGGTCACTACTGGGCGGGTGATATGACTCATTGCAATGTAGATACCAATTTATATTCCAATTGGTGACTCACACTTTTTCTTAGTACTTGTGCCGTGATGATTTTTATTTTCTTTATGATAAACCTTTCATTTTCTAATTTTCTGTGAGCTTTGTCCCACCGTGCAAGTAAAATGATTCCCTTCCTTCTGTCATGATTTTGCACAATACCTTCAATTTATTTTCACACTTTTATACCCAAGCCGCAGGTGTTTTTTTGTGCATTTTTTATTTTAGCTTAAAATGTTTCATTTAAATTCATTGCATGCTTATATTTTCTCTTTCTTTTTTCAAAAAGCTGTAATGACTTTGTTTTCCATCTTATGATTTTTTTTATTGTTCAAGTATTTTGCTTAGTTATGTTTCGGTGATGGAATGGTAGATCCATTAGATTTAGGTGTATTTAATTTGGTCCATGCAAGATGAAAGTGTAGTCTCTTTTGTTCCAGCCGCAAGATGTATTTTCTCTTTATTTATTGTGTTCAAGTTGTTCAAGAATTGTAATTTAATTCTTCTCGCTGCATTATGCTTCTACGCATTGCCTTTGATTAATGGAAGATGCATTTCCAATTTAGCAATTTTAATTCAAGAGAGTCATGCAAGTTTTCTGTAATTTAGTTGTAATCTTAGCTTAAGTCACCAATGATTTAATTTTGTATTTGAAATCGTTTTTTTTTTTTTCCATTTTATGTTTGCATTCGTGTTTTATTCAAGTTCATCCGCAATCACAAAAACACTTTCAAAACCCCCCACTATGTGTTTGACCTATTACCTGAGCCACATTTGGTCCTTGAGAGACGACCTAGGAGTCACTTCCTAGCACTATACTGCATTCTTTATCAATCAACTTTTGTGTGAGGTGCGACCCTCTCATCAGTTCTTCTTCAGGTGGATCTTCTCCCTTTTCCACCACCACCACTGCCGCACCTTCTCCATTGGTTGACCGACCTATCCCTCTTCCATTCCCCTCACGAGCACTTCCTAGCAAAAGGATGGAAGAGGTGGATAAGGAAATTTTGGAGACCTTCAGGAAGGTAGAGGTGAACTACCTCTGATCGATGCCATCAAGCAAATAATACCGAAGTATGCCAACATTCCCTTGAAGGAGTTGTGCACACACCATAGGAAGATGAAAGGGCAATGAGAGATTAGCATGGGAGAATGTAATCGCGCTTATTGGTAAGTCGGTCCCCCCACATCCTGAAAAGTGCAAGAACCCAGGTATATTTTGGCATTCCTTTTGTATTGAAACAATAAATTTTAGAGAATGCCAAGCTTGATTTGTTGCTTCTGTTAATGTCATGCCTTTTTTTTTGTCTATATATGCATCTTTTGTCTCTTGGTCCTTTGCAAACCACGGGTGTGGTCATTCATTGGCCATAGGAGTGTTTTTCCCACCCACAGGTTTCATAGAGGATGTCTTTGGTTAGGGTTGGTGGATTGATTTTTCCTGCTGACTTTTAATGTTTTGGAATGGAGGAGGGAGTCTCTCATTGATCCCTCCCATTTCTTAGCAGGGGCCCATTCTTGAAAACTGCCCGAACTAAGATTGATGTGTATGCTGGAACTTTGTCCCTATGGAATTTGCTGACATTGTTGTTCATTTAATATCCCTGATGCAATGAAATTCCAGCTGAGGACCATCTCTGTTTAGGATCGATGCATTGGAGACATTTATTGAGATTTGCGGTTGACGACTTTCATCATTCTTTGCATAGAAGAAGCATTCTTTTCTATCTTCTTTGCATTCATGCATGAATCTGGATTCGAATCAAGATTTGAGAAATGATTTTGATAATGTTTGGATTTTGATGAGGATTGGTGATGTCCAAGGAATTGATGCTATGCATGATATTGATGATGTTGTGTTGCATTCTGTGTTGACATTGATTTGGACTGGAGGGATGAGTGTTTTGCCTTTACCTGTACCCTCTTTAGAGT